TGTGCAGAAGGAAACGCGCCGCGTGGGGAGCATTTAAGAATATCGAGGGAGTAGTGAAGAAGACAAAGAACATCCAGCTCCGCGCTCACCTTTTCGACTCTGCTGTCCTTCCTGCTTTGACGTACGCCTCGGAGGCCTGGACTCTACGAAAGCAGGTCGAGCATGCTGTCAGCGTTATTCAACGCGCTTTGGAAAGGACGATGCTCGGAATTTCCCTATACACGCAAGTGCAGAAGGGAATCCGGAGTTCCGAGCTCCGTCACCGAACGAAGATCAGGGATGCCGTTGATTACGCCAAGAAATCGAAGATCAGGTGGGCCGGTCACGTTATGCAACATAGTGATCACCGTTGGACCAGGGCGGTTACTGACTGGATCCCTCGGGACATCAAACGAACTCTAGAAAGGCAGCGAACGAGATGGTCAGACTTCTTCACGAAAGCTCTTAACGAAATGAATGTTGTTCCTCGTGTCCCTGGAGCGATTCGGGACGAATGGAGACGTTACATGCGCCCGCTCGAGGGAATCGACGATCAACGGGACGACAGGTGATACAAGTGATAACTAAAGAGTATTTCACACTATTCAACACTATTTGACTGCAAAGCAGCCATATACACATAACTAAGAACAAGGTGTTTGCGTTGCCGTTGCGGTAGTAGACTTCGCTGATAGGAAGGTTGACGCCGTCTTCAATTATTCGCATTTTAGGCTCGTTTTCTCCTTCACTGTGTTCGGCATTAGCGCTCGTACACCTCAGATATAGCAGAAAGGAGAGGAATTTCGGAAGGAGCAATGTCCATACTTCTAGTTGATTCTGAGTTCAATCTCTTTAGGATATGTGGAATATGATCAGGTAGCAGGATAATAGCGGTCAATATCCACAGTAGGATCAGTGTTCGTTTTTCCTAGACGCTATGCTTGACCCTGTTACCATTACAGATTTTCAAACCACATAAAATGCTACAGAAACAATGTTCGTTACAAAACAGAACTATTTCAAGAATTCAAGAGTAGTGCACCTTGGGGGAAACACAGTCGATAAAGTGGAACATTGTTTGCCTACCCTGTTCTTCGTTTCTGGACCACACCCATGCTATGCATATTGAAATCTCGCATGATAAGATCTAGTAGGAAAGGAGTTACGACTGAAAAGTACGAGCGAACTTTGATTTTGAGCGCTGCTGTACTCCAGCTGTCAGAACTTTTCAAACTTTTCACCATTAGAGGAACATCAAGTACCAATCCGTTCCTCATGAACGTCGTTTNTCTTCAGGTACAGCCTTGCGCTATAGCGTCGCCTCTTCAGTATTCGTTCTGCCTGTGCGATGTTCGGTCTTATAGCCCTGATACTATCTGCGAAAGGAAGAAAAGTAACTAGCCGTGGACCTTCACTCCCACGTCCTCTCGTTCCAAGTGTTGTTATGTTCTTCAGAGTGGCACTGAGAGGTTTTAACGAGACAGCTTTGCCGAGCCGCGCTCCTCATGTACACAGTGACTTCCTTATAGAATGACGGAATCCTGGTCGTGACGCCGTCTTAGGCCACGAAGCATCTTTATAAATGGGTAGGAACATTCTGGTTGGGCTTCAATTACTGCTTCTGCCTCGAAGGCTCGAAGGCCTTTCTCAAATGGATGAACGTAATACATAATAGCACCCTTGTATCCATTCCAATGACGGTGTAGATGTGATCGATTGTATTGAACCCTGTTCGGAACATGTTTGCTTGCAAGGCTTTCCTTTTTTCTAGTCATCTTGATTTTATGATCTGTGAAGCCCCGGAGGCTGTGCGAATATTGTTCCCTGTCTCGACAGCTTCGTCCAGCAGTGCTACTATTGCAAGCATATCAACTCAAGAATCTTCAAAGAGAAACGTCTTCCAATTGTGAACTTCCTACTTTTCTAGCACTACCGTTGATTGTGCGATGTGTTGATATGAGTCAATGATGTTTGTCATGGTCTGAGTTTTGCATGGCTCTTGCCGCACATTCAAGAGTAACACTTGCGCGCAGGAGAAGGTGGTCCGATCCCATAGAGAACTTTAAAAAAACTTTAGGGCAACTACGACAGCAGTCAGGCAGAACTTCTTGAAAATGATATGATCTATTTCATTACGAAACTGTCTACCAGATGATTCTCATGTCTATCACAAATCAGAGGGCTTCCACCAAGTCTGCTGCAGATGGCCATAGATTGTGTAGGTCAACACCATGAAATCATACAGTCTTTCGCCTAGCTGATTCCATTCTGTTCCGTCACTCTTGTCGTGGAGCTTCTCACACTTTACTCTGATGCTAGCTTTGACGTTGAAATCCATGGATTTGGAGAAAGTATTGTCCTTTTCAAGGTCGTTAAAGTGCCTCAAGCTCCAGTTTTTCGTAGTTGAACGTTGGTGAACCGGTATATAGTCAATTAAACTTGCGAGAGCTGGTACTGCTACTTTTCCTCTTTTTTCCCCTTCTCAATTTTCTCATTTCCCCAAGCTTAAGCCCGAGTCTATGGGTTGCAAAACTTTTGCACGAGTCGACATTCACTACTAAATACGTGTTGACGATCGACACAGCCGGCCCCTCGCCTGTTCCCAAGAATAGCTCTTCCTCATCCTCGAAAAAGGCGTGCTGATGTTTTCTCGTCCCAGCCGATCACGTCATACGTGATCTTTCTCCAGCGATAGTTTCATATATACATCCTCTGAAAAATGCTATTTTTCGTACCCGGGTAGCACGGCTCTACTTGAAGAATTGTGAAGCAGTTCCGATAGAAACTGGAGAAGAAATGGTCTTTTACAAGATTCGTCTACTACATCTAGGCTTTTTGATTGTAAGTATTAAAAAACACACACAGAAACAACTTCTAGTCATATATTGTAAAATCTCAAGGACATGAATGGAAATTTAAACGCAGGCATCGAACAGCTTGCAACTCGAATTTGCTTATTTCAACATTTCTAATCTTTATTTTTTGATATGAACACAGTGAGGTGGTGCCCACCGTTTCGAACACAATGTGTAAGTCTAAGACTAAAACTCTCACTGGCACGTCTTAGCATCGCCGTACTATCGCACAAGCTTCTTGTTCAATCCAAACTTTCAAATCTGGTATCGTCGTTGGACGAGTCTCAAAAACCTTCAACTTGGGATGTCTTCCAGAAAGTAATCGCAGCAGCTCAGATCGAACGATCGTGGGAGCCATTAAAGACCCTCATCCCTACAGATCAAGCGGTCTTGGAAAATATTTCTCGCTATTCAACAGTTCAATGTTGCATGGTCACTAAATTCCAAATGTGCAGAACGGTTGAGTCAAGTCACCGCCTACTTCCCTCACTGCACACTCCACCCACTCTACCAAATTCATTGATCGTGCACCTTGAATGCACCACCGAAACAAATAAACCGTTTTCTGTTAGAATCAAGTTTCCATCTTTGTTCTTGAGGCCTGTTGCGATATAAGTTAAAAAAACCATTTCTGTGTATTTCATCTCTGATTTTAGAAATCGTGCGGTTCGATTGCCTCACCCTGTATTAATCGGGAAACACACTAAAGAGGCAAGGGCATATAATATTTATATAGATACATACACAGTAGCGCTCAAAAGTCTTCGGTGAAATGGCTCTTCAGCCGGACCTTTCAGTTGTAACCCCTTTCCTACTGGATCTAATCTTGCGAAATTTCTATATTTGGAGCGTGGGAGTGTTGTGAATACTTGCCACTATTAACTTGCAATCTGATCGTGTTCCAGATATTCCAAAGAGCTTGAACTCAAAATCGACAGAAAATACAGATGATGGTCCTTCTAGAAACTCTTACCTTTTTGCCATGTCTGAAGTGTACGAGCGGTAACGCCGAACATAATAGATGAGAAAAACGCACATAAGGTGCGAATAAGTGCAGTGGTCAACAACTTTACTTTGAGCAAAATCTGCTACCGGAACAAACCCCTTGCTCTATATGTGGATATTGCAGCTTTCCAGTCAAATAGTGTTGTGTAGGGTGATATATGCTCTAGTTAAACATATCCAAATTTCGTGCGATTTGGTCTACCCAGAAAGAAGTTATGAACGAAAAAGCGTCAAAGCATTTTACCGAAGACTTTTGAGCGCTACTGTATATAAATAGCTCTTCTCTACGACGGAGAAAATGCCGAATCAAAAAGCGTGGTCACATTAGACTGAGAAGTCTAACTTAGTTTTTCTCAGTCATTCTACCCTCCAGTAGCCCTCCATTCATTCCTGTCGCGAGCCTTCTCGTTAAAAGCGCAAAAAGCATAGTATCCTCCCTTTCAGGACTCCCGTGAGAAAGCCTGGCCATGTTTATGCCGTAGGTCGTTTGAAGATTCAGTCAATACAATGATAATGATGGTCCAACATCACCACGAAATCGCATGCTCTGAATTTCTCTCCACACTGCGTGTATCGGAGAATTTCGAGCATCTTTTTTTCACAAAGCCTTGAATGCGCTCAACGTGCTCATCCTGGCTGCGCCTGCAGTGTTGAATAGTTCAATGTGGAGCGCGTTGTTCTTCTCTTTATTAATCACTCTACGTAATTGAATTCTCTCCCCACGCCGCGCCTTTTCTTCTGCTCAGCTAGTATGTTGACTTATAGACCTAGGCACACGTAGCTAAAGCATTCGCTGATTCCCATTCCGTTTAGCATAGGAATAGACTAGGTACCACGCCTTTCTCACAACTCGTTATCGTTGAGTTCAGTCAAGAGTCGATCTTTCCACAAGCTTTGTCGTCATAAGCATTCATTCTGCCTGCTCAATGTTCGCCCACAACGCGAAGATGATGTAAGTAGCCATTGTTCTTCACTCACATGTCTTTCACAGCCCAAAAATTCGTGATGTCTTTGAGAGGGGCACTTAAACGGTTCGATATTGTTGTTGTGATGATGACGCCCTACAGATCTCACTTAATGTTGACAATGAACTCTTTGTAGGATGACGAAGTCCTGGTCGTAAAGATGTTTCAAAGCTACCTGAGCTACCTGTAGATAGTTTGTCAAAACATAATAGTTTTAGAAATTGAGCTATTTGAATTATTATTGTATCAGACGCGAACTCATTCACCAATGCCACAGATCGCGGGTGATAGGTAAATATAGAGCACTGAGAAAGGTAACCGATTGCAGGAAACAGGGAAGTATTTTACGGCTGAGTACCTCCACAACACGTCGACGGATGCACCCGATCAGATGCCTCCTCGGGTATTCGTGCACGGCGAACCTTATGCATCCAACATCTTCCTCATCAATGACAGTCACAAAATCGCTGCTGTTATAGATTGGACAGGTTTGTTTTCTTATGTGAAGCAAAATAATTACGACTGGCAAATGAAAACTATTATATGTACCGTCATATCACCGCTAGGCAAATTTGTAGTCTCCGAATGGAAACAATAATAGCTGTAGTTCCACCTTTACAGGCAGACCGAAAGCTAAATTTGCGAACGTCAGCGAAGAAGCCTTCTTCCTCTTTTGTGTTGTCATATATGAAATGGCTTTCTGAGCCCATTTAGAATTACTGATGCCTTTCTTGCCTGATCTTTTATTAATATTTTAGGGTCATTATTGCATGCTCAGCCCACAATTTGCTCGAATTGCTAGCGCAGAAGCCAGTGCTGCCAGACTACATTCCAGAAAAGTCAATTTGAGAACAAATTAGTTGAAGGTGTTCTGTTCTATCGTCGAGATAGTGTGGTCATGTCGACGATAGAACAACACCGCAATAGAAGCGCAAACACGAGTGAGATGATACACTTGTTGTTGACAGTATGAATAGACAAGACCCTAATGTAATCTTAAGTTAAATTCAATTCAAATCAAATAAACGATGCCTATCATTTTAAGATTGCCAGAAAAATCTTGGGAGCCTAGTTATACCTATCCAAGTCTTTATGAATCAATATATAAAGAACTGGGGAATGACGCTATGAAGTAGTAGTGGTTTGCCTTCACTAATTTGATGTTTTGTCTTCGCTATTTTATTAGAACTTCTGAGTTTGTTTTCTATAAAAAACCCATGCTAAAATTGAGCATTGGTTCAAAACCTCCTTGCGACAAAGAAGCAAATAAACGACTCTGGCGTGATATGACTCCCACGAGTTTCGGTTCCTGCTACAACGACGACAACAAAAATCGCAGAGCCGATTATCGCGAACCTCGATGAACTGCAGGAGCTCAACGATAACTGATTTCATTTATACCTGCAGAGAATATTGAAGAAACAGTTTTCACGGAGTATATCGCAAAACACGTTGGCTTCTGATCGGATATTAATAAAGCCATCGACATTCTTGAAGTAATCGACATGCAGTAGACACTCATCACCGACCATTTGAGACAACTTCACGCGAGCGCAAGCTCTCCTCCAACGAGCAACAACAAATCTACAACTCGCAGCAACAATCGAATCGACAATTACAACAACAGATCATCATATGCCTAACAAGTTTAGGCACCACTACGTCTGCCTCCACCCAACCTGGACACCACGGAATCAATTGAATCACTTCAACGCGTCTCTCCTATCGCGATCGGGTACTTCATTCTTTTCTAAAAATCTGATCGAACTCCCGTTATTTTGGTCTCGATATAACACATTCGTGCGTCGTTAGCTGGCACGACAAATTTTTTATTTCTCAAACTTTGTTTGGAAGAAGAAGCGCTACAATTACAGCAAGTTCCGATCACATTGAATCTACATTACTGCCGTCGGCATCCTATATAGGATGTACGACAATCCATGCGCTCTTCGCCATCAGTGAAAACAACTCCATGACATCTTCCCAAAAATGTTACGTCTCTTTCGTCAGTACACTTCAATACACTTCGTCAGGATCTACTCTACGTCAAGTCAAATTCTTAACAAACTCTAGTCACCTTACTACCAAGTATTGGAGAAGCATAGACATTTCACTCCACGAATTGAATTGCAACTTCAAACTATCTTCGAAACCGTAGAAAGACGAACTACGAACCAACGAAACGATTTGCGCGTCTAATCTCTCCGATTAGACCATTGCACGGCTTCCTGCACTCGCCTGTTCCGCTACTTGTGCAACTACCACCACCCAGCGATATGCATCAAAACAAGGAATCTTGAAAAACCACACAAGAGGGTGAGGTGAACGGATCCAGCTCCATGAAATGTTCAGTTTAAGGAGCTCAATAAGGTCGGAACAAACATGCATATGCGATGCTAGAAGAACGACGCTCGCTTCACGAGGCAACAATTTTAATATATGTTATTTTGACGGAGAAAAAGAAGCAATCAATTTCTAGGACGCGAACAGAGAAACTATCAGAAAGGTGAGAATGACATCAATCGCACGAATGATAGCGAAACAGGCTCGTCTTACACAACTGTGAATCACTCTGCATCAACGAAAAATAACCATCATGATGACGACGACGACCACTGAGTATTGCTCATGTAAGCGAAAGTCGCTCTCGCCTATCCCCACGATACTGCGAAATAAATAATAATAACAGCTTTTGACTTGATGTTTTGTTAACTGCTGTTTTATCGCCGCAGTGCGCGAAGCGAAAGTCTCACAAGATTGGCGATTTATAGACAAAACTTCAGTCTCGCACTGGACTCAAACCCGTACTTGTGCTTTTCGGGCACCGCGCTCTATCCCTTATACCACCGAGACCCCGCTTGCCGTCGCCTTCTTAATGGCTTATATGCCATAGCTTATCAATATTCAAACGTATAACGTCTTGAGCCGGCCGGCTAGTGTCAGCACATAACCGTTAAGCCGTAGGATTTACATGTTATAACTTGTTTTACCTCGATGTTTTGTTAACTGCTGTTTTAACGCCGCAGTGCGCGAAGCGAAAGTCTCACAAGGTTGGCGATTTATAGACAAAACTTCAGTCTCGGACGGTACTCGAACCCGCACCTGTGCTGTCCGGGCACCGTGCTAACATAACTAATCATAACAGCATTCCTCGATAAAAGATTATCTCACTTATAAATAACTTCAGATGCCATAGCCAAATATCTTCAATTTCATACTATAGGTAACGAAATAATGCTTCAAGCGTTTGGATCGATAGAGTTAGTATCAGCTTCATTAACATTACATAAAATAAAGTTGCTGCCTTCCGACGAGACTTTCTACTCCCTAGACGTTCAATCACTACCACACCTCACCAAACAGCTAAATCCCGCGTATGCGTACTTCCTTCACACCGCTCTACGCCTACTTCCGACAACATACCACATTCTGCTACAGCAGTAAACCCTCGTATTCTCATTGAAATTGACTATTTCTGACAATTAGTTTTTT